ATGGGCGAATGGAACGCGCGGCTCCGGAGCCTCAAGTACGGCAAGTTCGCTTAAAGCGTTTGGAGGCAATTTGGCGCGAGACTTGGCTGCTTGGGTGCAGTTGACCAAAGGCGACCCGCGAGTGGCGCTGCTCTCGGTAGCGTATCGGAGTTACATCGACTTCCGTGGGGCCTTTGGCGGCACAGGTCAAGGCTTCGGTGGGGCGGGGGCGCAGTGGGAGTTCCTTCTGACGTTAGCTGTGGCTGGCGCGCGTCAGGAGAGCGGCGATTGCGAGTTGGCTCTGCAAGTCATTCAGCAGACACCGCTAGCGGTTGCGCGCGCCCCCGGGGACCAAGTGAGCAAGGGAATGCTACCTATAAATTCGCTCGACATCATATGGCAGCCGACAGCGGCTGGTTCCATCCGCGACGCCTTTCTGCAAAAGGGACCAGACAAATCGATACGTCTGCCACCCACAACGGGTATACCACCCACAACGGGTGTACCACCCACAACGGGTATACCACCCACAACGGGCATGCCACCCCCTGCAAATATGTGTACAACCGGGCCTGGCAGTCCCGCCGGTTTCGAGATGTTCCGAGTGTTAGCATCGCGATGCGCGCGTTTTGCGGAAGGCGGATCGCGGGACAAACATCGTCATGGTGCGTGCTTGTACTTGCGACTGGACGAGTTGCGGAAACGTGACGACCAGATCGGTGTTATAGCCAGAACGATGACCCCAGAAGAAGCGGTCATATGTTATGGGCGCAACACAGAAGTTTTCACGAAGGGTTGGAAGCAACACAATAAATTTCCGGCTGCGGCCGAGCAGGTCGTAGGCGAACAAGACGCGGTAGGAAGCACCGGCGAGGACACGACGGAGCGTTGGAAGGTGTTGCACGCTGAAGTTGACTGTTTGGTCCAGGTCGTGCATGACCCATTATTGGTCCGATTTTTGTCTCCGGTGGCGAAAAAAGACTTGGCGCTATACGCCAAAGACGCTGCGAGTGCTGTCTCCATATCGGACGTGTCCTCTAAGGTGCGGGAAATCGCCCGATTAATGGAGTGGGACACGTCACACGACACACTTGACGAGGCCCCTTCGGGACCATTAGGCGTCCTAGTCGTAGAACTCACCAACTCCGGCGTGTTCTACAGCTCCGCACAAGCCTGTCCCTTATGCATCAAAGGCCTCAAACGCTGGGGTATAGGCGAACAAATTTACTCTGTACCAAACCCCAAGCTATGCCAACGAGAACGTATCACCCTCAACGAAGCTCTCGTGTGCGAAAGCTTGCGATCAGCACTCACTCAAATAGGCACCCAGAAAAATCTTCAGGTTTGGAAACAAGTCTCTTCTTCGCGAAAAAGGAAAAACTCCAGACCCACCCTCTAGGCCCATCCTCTAGACCGACCCTCTAGGCCCATCCTCTAGACCGACCCTCCAGGCCCACCAGTTCGCAAGTTCTTCCCAACAAAACCTTCCTAACGAATGACAAACAAGCTTTCCTAGCATGTTTGTCATTTCTGCGCCGCCGCTCTGGTGTGTTTCGTTGGAGACGAGAACGAGCTCTGGACTACGGCGATCGGTCGTTGCAATTCCGTCCACGCACGCTCTGTCACAGACGCTCTGCCACGCACGCTCTGTCACGCACGCTCTGCAGGCTCCAGACACGCTCGGATGTATATATGTTGAAGGTGTGGGTGAACATTTTAGTGTGTTCGAGATGGCATAGGTAAAGCACAACTCTTCTGCGAGTTTGGACACGTTTGATCGGAAGAAGAGCCGGATAGAAAGCATAAACAAGTGCTAGGAGCAACGACTACTTTGCTTTTTTTGACATTTCTCTTCGATTGAAAAATAGAATCTATTTTGGAACCGTGGTCTACCTATTATGCACTGCAACTATCTTTGCAACCGCCCATGCACTGTCTATGCAAGAACATCATCATCATCTGTGCAAGAACATCATCTATGCTGGATTATTGACATTACGGGCATCATTGCTGCTGCAGTGTGTGACTCATTGCTCGTCGCCTAGGCGGCCGACAGAGCGCGTTGGAATTGTTGGCCGTGTTGAGACGGTTGTGGAAGAACTGCGAGAAACAGCGAGGTTCGTTACCAGGTGAGGAATCGCGGAGGTCGAGACGGTTTTCTGTGCTCGCTTTTAAGTCGGGGTCTCAATCCAGAACTTCGACGACTATGAGAGTCTCCATGATGAGACCTAGAGGGGGCGACGGCGGAGCCGGCCACAACCAGTCCGTGAGGGCCATCGGAAGAGGGGACAGCTTTCTTCTGGGTGCCGGAATTGATTGCCGTCCGGCTTCCGATGGAGTTGTCGAGCACAACGTGAAGAAAGACCAAATGCCTGGAACTCGACCGGTTCAGGAGTGGTCACGATCGGTCAAGGAAATCTCCCTGACCGTGGCGGAGCTGACCGTGGCGTAGCTGACCGTGGCGGAGCTGACCGTGGCGTAGCTGACCGTGGCGGAGCTGACCGTGGCAGAGCTGACCGTGGCGGTGCCGACCCTGGCGGTGCCGACCCTGGCGGTGCCGACCCTGGCGGTGCGTATTCTTCATGTTTTGTTTCACTTCGTGCGTGGTCTTGGTCTTGTGTGTGTGGTACGTTTAGTCTTCGTCACCGCTGTCGTCCCAGGCGGGATTGATGCTGAGTTTACCTCTGACATTTTGTTGGGTGGCTCCTACGACTTCCTCTTCATCACCGAAGTCGTATTCCTCTTCTTCTTCTGGTATGTCGTCTTCGGCTTCTTCCTCCTCCTCGGCTCGGGGATGATCCTGGTCGGAGAAGAAGCCCATTTCTTCCTCCTCTTCAGCGGCGTGTACTTCTTCATCGTCCAATGATGACCGTCGTCGCATGTCACGCTGGGGGCCGCCCACTCCTGGCCCCGTTGGACGCTGCCGCCGAGCTGACGATGGTGGTAAACTACTAGGCGGCCGATACTCACCACCACCCATCATAGTTGGTGGCAACATTGGAGGCTCACCCGCAGCTATCATATCGAACCAGCATGAAAACACATCAATCTCGGCATCAATCGGTGTAATGGCTGTCTCAAACGTCCTTCGACACGCACGACACACGAGTGTCCCAATTCCCGCCTTATAGTTTCTAAAGAAAGAAAGGGACACACTGGTGCGGGGAGACTGGTGCGGGGAGGGAAATGTCGGTGGTGAGAATGTTGGTTACAGATTGACTTCGACCGTCTTATCGCATGAGCAAACTGGACAATTGTACTCCTTATCTAGTTTCGGAACTCCTCGTTTAGGCGGGGCCTTTCGCTTCGTCTTTCTCTTTCCCATCGGGGCCTAATAAAATTTGCTAATGTTCCTACCTTCAGATACGCTGAACCTCGTAAGCATGGGGAGAACGAACGGGGAACGAGCTGATCTGTCCGTGCGGAGCCTCTGCTCTGCCCAGGGAAGGGGAGAGCTGAACATTTCGCTAGCACATCTGGGGACAGTACCGAACGGACAGAACGACCCCTAACTTGTGTTCAGCTGAATGGGCACGTCGGTTGGGCGGGGTACGCCGGTTGGGCGGGGTACGCCGGGTAGGGAGGGGTCATAGGCTCGGCTGCAGGACGATGTGTGCGAGGATGCTCCGGAAGAGTTGTTCGGTAGTGAAGAATGTTTGCCATCTAGTTTACTGAAGGCTCGTTGTGAGGTATCGGCGGTTTCTGA